ACAAATAATTTAAAATGTATTCCCTATAAGAGGTCGTCATGTCATTTTTTCCGGCACGTAAAAAATATCTTGGAGATGCACTTTTTTAAATATTTTCCTTTAAATACAATTCAAGACAAGAGTTTATCTAAACATTGTCAAGGTTACTAGGGACCAAGTAGTAAAGACTTCTTTAGATTGGATAGAATTTTACATTTTTCAAAGTCGTACAAATCTTCAATACAAAAAATGTTTTTGAAAAAAGTCTTTGTAAAAAAATTCTTGATACTCTAGTGCGTTCATAAGTAAATAAACCTAAAACTACGCCTAAAAATAGCGCATTTTCCTAAACATATTTTAGTAAAAAAAGAGGGCCGAATGAGTTATTAAAGTTGAAAAAAAAATGATTTTTGCATGGTTATTTGTTAATACGTGATTATAAAAATTGTAGCTTTATGTCAAGTTTTATCAAAAAGTGTTTGTAATTATCATTTACTCTTAATTTTTCATTTGGTTATTATGTAAGAGACTTACATAATAACTTACAACCGAGACGGTTTCACAAAAAAAAAAATGAATCATAGATGTAATCGATACAATTGTTAATGTAAGTCAGTATCATGCCTCAATAATTATGATATTTTTTTTTAATCTGAGAGACTTGCGTGGTGATAAAGAAAATACTTTTGTCAGCTTTATTGAACCAAACGCACACGTTAGTACTTTTATCTTGGTTAACCCACTTATAAGCCAAAATGTGCAACAACTAATATAGTTATGTTAAACACGTAGAGAACATTGCCTCAATTATAAATCGGTACTAGATTCTATTGTCATTTGTCATAGACATACGGATGACTGTTGAAGTAGGTAAGTATTTTTATTAAAAAATCATTAAGTACTCGGCATAAAAAAACAATTTGCTATCGATAAAGCCAAATAGCTCAAGGATCTTGTCTCCGTCATATAGTTCAAGGCGTATACGATATTAAAAAATAAAAAATGGCTTATTAGGTTAAAAGGCAACGCAACGGCGTGCGTTTTATTCATATAGTTTTTTACTGTACATCAAACGGACGGCACAAAACGAAAGTATTGATGAAAGAGAATAGACTGTTATAAAGTTTTGATGGCTATCAGCTACCAAAAAAGAATATTGTCGGTTGTTAGCTAGCGATGAATTGATTTTTTTTTATAAAACCAACGTTTAATAGCATACAGCTATTATGATGGTTGGATTACTTGCGAGTTGTGTGTACATTATTCACGTGTTTAATAGCAGTCGCGGCCGTTTATTTGCGAAAGTCGTTTTGTTTTAAGTTTAAACGGCGGGACGCTACTCATTTATATGTATACAATACAATATATTATACACACACAGCACACTAGGTAGGTATATAGTACCTAAGTAGTTACACGGAGTAACTGTTACTACAGAGTACAGCTGATATTATAGTAGTTAACTGCAGTGGTATTTGGAAATGTTTGCGACAGGATATATTGCGCGGTTAGCGATGATATTAATATAAACTATGTCCTTTTTTTAAATTTTATATAATATACCCTTTTATCCTTCCACATGGGTACCCCATATTGTATGCGTTTGGAAGGTGGTGTACACGAATATAATATTCACTATTCAGTTGATATAAATATAACATCTCAAATGCGGAAAATACACGGCGAATCGATCCACGGCCGAAGCGCCGTCGAGTAATGACGTCATTGTTCACCTAGGCAACCCCCGTTTACACTCGAGTCGGCCATCTGCACATGTACAACTGAATGAACGACGTGCACGGTTTATAACTTTTTACATCGATCTTTGGGTTATTTTTGGTTGCCCCCAACCACGTTTGTGTAAAACGTACAATCACTATAGGACCGAGTTTTATTTGGAAACTCCATCGTAGAAATCCATTCCGACGGTTATCGTACGTTACAACACCCTGTGACGGTCGATCAGAACCGATCTTGTTAAATCATATTATTATTATATATACTGTCCGGGGATGCTATATTCTGGGGGCTTTCCAATTCATATACACAAGTGTCATGGGGCGAACGGCTTCAATATTCCCATCCGTGTTAGTTGTGCTAGGTTTGTTGATCCAAGACCGTTTACATCAAGATTCCTCCAAATCCATATTGATATGTTCTGATTCAACATCGTTATTAAACGTTATGTGGCACCAACGTGGTGAGCTTTTTATCTTCATGGTCGGCTAAGTTGCTTTATTTCTCTTTCGAAGTCTTTTCTAACTATCTTCAATGATTTTACGGTTATTAGTTCAAACAAAATGCTATTTTACGTATAAAATATGAAGATAAACTAAAATTGTTTATTAATTGATTTCCCATATGATCATAATTGATCCTTCATGTTTCTTCGATGGTATATATGTTATTTCCACCAGAGTAAGACATACTTTAAAGACTCAATCGTGTCAGTTAGCGTCCAAAATGAGTTAGATGGATTATAGCATCTTAATCGGCAACTAAATTCTACAACATAATATGTTAAAACTGAGGCGATGGATATATTTTTTTATGGCAAGGGCCGGACAGTTTGTGGTCATATGTTTGTAACGGTACATGTTTATACTGTTAAACGTCACAAACCCGAACTTCAATCATCGAACAAGTTTGGTTAAAATCAATTTTACGTACTGCTTTTTAAACTTACAACATATATGACCGTTTCAGTAAAACTACATGCTTAAACAAACTACGTTAATAAAAAGAACCTCGAATGTGGATGCACTGTTAACCGTTTATTGTAACAGGGTGTCAAATACTTGTGCATCGTTCAGTATCAGTATGGTTGGTCACTGATTTACGTTTCACGATGTAGTAACAGAAAGAAAAGTATTGACATTGACGGTGTCATCAACATTCAGGAATCGTAGTCTATTATGAAATGGTTTTGTTTATATGTTAAAAGTAAAATATTATACTATACAGTATTAGTATGTATTTGGTACGTCTTTTAAACGCATCAACAACCCATCAAGGACTCGGTTTATATTTCTTGAAGAGAAATCGGCCACAGTCGGCACCGTCGAGAAATCTGAACACCAAATGCGAACACAATTTCTCTTCTGCTTGCAAATAAATAACCATTATAAGTCGGACTTTATTATTACTAATCGAATACTTGACAAGCATTACATCATATCCTTTAGCTACACAGCCTGTATAGTAATATATTAATTAAACCGATATTGCACAAAATTGTTTTTTTGCACATTGATATAACTAATAATACTAGCCAGTAGCCGTATCGTTTTATACATACCATTTAGAACTAAATTTAAAACAGATTATTTTATTCACCTGTTTGCCAACAATCCGGTAACCTCTATTACGTTTCAGGAACTAGGAAGTACATCATCTGTATATACGTATACACATAGTCATATATTTATAAATGTATTTTGTAAATCAACTTACATAAACACGGTTATTGAATTTAACACCTAATTCCTTTGCGCAGTCTATTTTCATATTAAAAAAGAGATAAAAAAAGAAGAACGTTTAAAGATGAACAACGGATAGAGCCAAAACGTCAATCACGGTGACTATTACGGTGAAATGTAAACACATTGAACGAATTTAAAGGTTAAGTTAAAAAAAAATACATATATTTTATGTTATAAATGGTTACAGACAAACAGAAGACACATAAATGTATATTTATATACATAAATTGTATATACCTATTACGAAGCGATCATTCATAAATATTATAATATAAGGTTGACAGAATGCATTTTTCTATATTTATATTTTACAAGGTCTATTAACGACCTGTATTAACGACATTGGATAAGAAAAAAAGGTTATATTGTTATTTAACCAGGGCCATAGTTAAGATGCTGTCGACGCCGTATTCAAACGCCTTGGAATCCGTAGTAAGTGTAACTTTTTCATTTAAAAATTGAATAATTAATATATTATGTCTCATTCATTTACTATAGTTCTGAGGAAGCAGGATTTCTTTTTTTTTAGAAGCAAAAAACCTAGTGTACATTTATTCCGTGTCAAAATGTACACAGTTCTAACAATTCGGAAAAACGTTCGTTGACGACTAACAATTACAAATAATTTTTCGGCGGTTACTTTGACAAAGAGTGTAGACTGTAAAGTGCAAAACTTTGTAAAACTGTATGGTTTTGAACACGAGTCCTAGCTAAGACATGAGAGCAAGACTCGACCTATCTGACCACGTGATGTTGAACTTTAAACGGACAAGTACCTATAAACCTTGCATACATAGATTATTTGAATAACAAATTATTGAGCAAAAGAAATTTGTGTTTGAATAATTTTGATCTTTTCCGCCTCTCGTTTATATGTAATACATTCGTCATTATATCTAATGGATACTCTATAATTACTGATCCTATTATATTATGTTAGATAAACTGCAACTCGGATAACCCTTAGCGTCGACCCTGGCATTGATTTAACCGAGAAAATCAGGTGTATCGCGTTTTGACCCTATTTTTCTCTGACCACCTCTATAACAGTACATATAATATGTATCATATATATGTAAATAATGTATGTACTCTAAATTCGCGTCCAAAATTTTAAATGCAATTAAGTCGTATAATAAAAAAATCAGATAATATTACAACCAACCGTGTATTAATATTGTATATCCAATGAGGTACATATTGGGTTACGCTTACACATAATATAATATTATCGTCTACGTTTGAAACAAAGAACATGGGAGCGAGTGAGTGTGAGATTTCTTTAGGTTCAAGGATCTCTGGTATGGGTCTATCGTTTGTCATGCAGCAGTTGTGACCGTGTTACTACCTCGGTCAAACCCTGCTCCTTGTATCCACGAGTTTAATAATAATATAAATAATATTATTAAATTATTTAATAGTATTTAGTAATACGTAATTTTCCGCGGCGCGCAGACCAAAACGCTTTTAGTGGATATATATAGACATATTATAAAGCATTACATTGGTGCATTTATGTATTTTTATGCAGATATTTACCTTATAGTTACGGCCAATACTACTATTATCACAGCGACAAGCACCATTGCAATGAGAACACCGCATACCATGTATACTCCTTCATTTGGAGCATCTGTAAAAAAAAATCAAATAAATATATTAGATATTATAATTTTTAAACAGCATTAGACGATGATGGCAGATGAGTTTTATGAATATTGAAGGGAAATGAAAATGTTTAGTGAAAAATCTGCAGGCTAAATATTAATTTTTGTGTACTAAGATCTGTTATTTTCCTCAACTAAACGTCTCTATTATTACAGAATTTAAAGTGTATCATTTCACACTACCAATAATATCAATTGTCCCGAGTAATTTTATTTTATTTATCTTTTGTATTCGTCGAAGTTGATGAAACGACTGCAAAGTTTTACTACGCAATATCGCGTGTAATACAATATATTATACTTTACACGGGTAAACTATTGTAATGGACACTGGAGTCTGGACGTTGAGTAAGTAAACATGATAAATATATAATATCTTGCTATCATAACTCATAAGTTAAAACACAGTAGGATTCTATAAAAATTCAAAATAACAGATTAAAATGTAATGACGTTGCATAACGTCTTAATCATAAACGCATCTTCTACACATATGTTTCGCAAATGACACAAGTCAAAAAATCGTAATTTTTAGTTAATACCATGGTAAAAACAGCTCTAGAATTTTGAAATAACCATTTTTTGGAAAAATGATTAAAAATGTAAAATATGCTTTTTGATAGGCTCGGTTAACAATTTTCTCAACACATTTTTTGATTCGTGTCACAAAGCACATGTGCAATTTGAATTCAGGGTGTTTTTTTAAGTACATTTTTACATTTGTATTCTTATAATATGAACGTAAATGTTGCTGGCCTCGAAAAAAATGCACCCACCCAAACGTATTTTATTTCTTGGGGCTAAAGTGAGTTTTTATATAATATTATTTTTCCTTCGTTAGCAATAAGAACGATTCAGACGGGATCATCGACTCTCTCTGCAGGTCACTAACTTCCTCTCCCGTCTCCCTCCGGACGCGCCTCGTCCACATGTTTTGTCAGACACGCTCCATCCAGGGTTTCTCATCCCTACTCATTATCTTCATAGCGTTTCATTCCGCAGTTTCAAAAACGAGCATATACCTATGTACGTTTTAAATTTATATGACAGACAATAACATTAACGTTGTCCTTGACGGCTACAAAGACTCCTTTTTCTCGCGACTTAAACCCGATATCGTTTCCGATATGTTCGGTAAATTGAGAGTAAAAATAAAATTTATATTAGTCACTTGGGCCTTGGGCTCGAGTTTTTTGTTGACTCGGTAGTTTTAACAAAACTGTTTTGTATTTTATGTAATACGAAAATATTGCAGTTGTCAGCTCATATGCCCACGTGCTTCTATGCGACTCCTTAGTTTTTCTCTAATTCGTCATTATAAGCTACAAAATATTTTTTAAAAAAATGATATACAAAACGATCATTCAGTTCCATAAGAGAAAAGCTGATAACCATTACGCCCGTTCTTTCCCTACATTTTATAATACAATAGCTACAGAATAGGGTATAGGTACACTTGCTGACGTATGGTTATATTTTGTTTGGGGTTCGAAAAAATTAAAAATACGGAAACCATATATTATAATGTGCGAGCCATCCAATGTGGAATACATCCCACATAATATGGGACATGATGTTAAACCACGGTTATTAGACCGTAGAACGGTAACAGGAATAACGGTTAATCCATAATTCGAATGGCGTGCCGAATTCGATTGTATTGAATATAGGCAATGCGTTTGTCGTTAATTTAACAATAATATATTTTAAATGTGTATTACAAATTATCACACAAACGCTGCCCAAACCGTAAACGACCAGTTGTATGACACTATAGTCTGTAGAAGTTTCCTATTTGATAGCTGAGGTTTGATAGCTCATGTCTATACAGCTGTTCAGAAAGTATTGTGTATATTTCATTATGCATGCACAGAAAATTCATATCAAGTAATCATTTAAATATAAGTAAAAAAAACGTTAATAGAATATAGGTACTGCGTAACATGTATACATCCAATGATATCAAGTATCACTTATCAGCGTTCTGTGTTAACGAGGCGCTGTTAACGCATTTATTTATTTTTTCAGTTTTATAAACTTTTTCATTTATTTAATATCGTATGATGCATTATTATGATATAAATATAAATACACGTAGATGGGTCAAATATGTATAGCTTTATTATGAATTGTATGACGAAAACCACTATAAAGATTATAGTCACATTAATTTAAAGAAAATCTACAAAAACTAAGTAATACTACTTAGCCAGTTTCTGAAATTCATAGAGAATAGTCACTTAGTCACGTCTAAAAATGTCTACGTCTAGCGCTACTTGTAAACTAATAAAGAATCGCATTCTACTTAGCGTCTCGTTAGCATGTCAACCGTACAGAAATGATCAAATCAACGCTAAACGGCACATTTTCTTCGACTCGTGAATGTTGTGATGTTATTCAATCAGCTAATCATTTTCTCATTTAATTAAACAGCACATTAAAATTGTATGTTTTTAGTTTTAAGACTCAAGAATACTTTTAACATATTTTTTTACGTCTAATACTTATGACCTTTTATTGGCAATTTTAACATAAAGCTTTTAAAATATTTGCCTGTAATCAAGCTGAAAATAATTTCATGTTGTTTTTTCATTCCCCTGATTATCCGACGTCATAGTTTCTACTTTCCAAATTCGTATAACAAAAATAAAGCGGTAAGCAATGCAGTACAATTTATATGTCCACAGTATTATTTTGGTTGGTTGGCTATAATAATATTATGGCGGCGTAGACATTTTTTCTCGTTTCACAACGGAGGTTTATATTGTCAAGAAGGTCTGTCCTATGATTTTTGTATGGCTTAAGTAGTCGTTCAAAACGTGACCATTGGAGCGCTGAGTGTATTTCTGGAAAAAAAGTAAACGATTGGCAACACTGATTTATGACGTTCAAATTCGTGGTATCATAATTTAAAAGTGTTCATAAAGTCAGTTCGTTTTGTTTAGTGAATTGTGTTTTAAAGCAATTCATGTGCGTAATTTTATTAAAGTTTATTCCGCTAGATACTATTATGAATTATCAACAAGATATAAGTCCTTTCTACAATTCGATTTCAGTAAAACACGAGGATGTTAACTCTAGTTACTCCACTTCAACCTCTTTTTTTGATCGTTCGCTAACTCTTATTCGTGAAGCGTTTTGTAAGAAAAGTTTATTCCCCTGTCACCTTTGTATACAAAATTACCTTCAATATAAAAATATAGAACGCGGAGAGCTACTGATCACAGAATACATCAAGGGGGGCGACAACTAAGATAAAAATAATGTAAATGACAAAATATTGTTTAACATTTTCCAAATTAAAAAAATTAACTGAAAAACCCCTATTTTTTTAAAGGACCCAAATATGTTTCAAATCTTGACAATTAATATACAATTGATATTAAATATGAAGATTTAAGTTTTTTCATTAATAAATATTTACCTTAACACAACATTTTTATTTTTTTCTAAATATTTTTGTACAAAAAAAAAATCATATAGTATTAGAAATTAGTACTAGAAATTTCATTTTCGTAAAAATTATTTTAAACAAAAAATTGTTTTGAAAAAATTAAGTAAATTAAGTTATTGCTTATAAGCTATAACTTACTTATATGCCTGTTAGACCTCTAAAATATGAATTTATCATTGTTTTCAGCGTACAAAAAAAAAAAAAAATATATATATATATATATTACAAAAATAATTTATTAAAAAATTGAACGAGGCAAACTATGCTTAGGTATGCCTAAATCTATCCCACGATTATCCAGTCTAATTAAAAGTAAGTCATTACAAGCGCGTGTTAGCATTAAAATTAAGATTTTTGGTAGCTCATTTTTTATGTATATGTAACCGATCTAGAGTGCTTTCTCGGTTGAAATTTCTAAATTCGCCAAATAAGACCATATTGATATTATTCTATACATATTTATAGTTTTCAACTTTTATACTAAATTATTTATGTTACGATATTTATATTTTATGTTAAAATATAAAATATTTATAATATACATAAATTTGAGTTTGCAATTTTAACTTGGAATAATTCATTTTTCACCTAACAATTTCCTGCATTTAACTCGTTAATCAGGTTGAATTACTTATAGTTGACTAACAGCTGTTCTCGAGCTATTATCGTATAATACAGGTGATACTACGTTGAGTATAATTCAGTCAATTAAATTTGACATTTGACAAGTCTAAGAATGATTAGAGTATAGTGTTAAACAAACTACTTATTAAATGGATTTTCGTATATATGCATAATCAAATTATAATGGAAATTATGTATAAAAGTGTTTTGTAAAAATGAATGACAGCGTTTATAAAACTGTATTAAGTTATATAACTCTATATGTATTTTTTAATGACAGCCAGTCGAATTACTGTTATTTAAATTATTGATATGTAATTCAACATTAATTAGAATGAAGATAATACTAAATCAAAACAAAACGTTTTATAATTTTATAATTTTTTTATCATATTTGACAATTTGAATTCTTTAGGAAACGTGGTACAGGGAAAATGACACAACTACCCAAATACTTAAAGGAAGATTAATCAAAATAAAAAATACGGTTCCTGGTTATTTGGATTTGGTCAAGCACATCTCGACAAATAACATGTAGATTACATAAATCATACAAAAAGCCAAAAGGGAATAAATAAATTAAAAGTACTACAAAGCCTAATGGCTTAAAATAAAAATGAATGAATCCAGAGTAAGGGGTATTTATTATGTGTGTAGTATGAGTAAAGAACTGTTTTATACAAATAATACATTAGTAATTTGTATTTCAAATACATTATAGTATTTCATTTATGTCTGTTATATCTACCTATTACTTTTGAAATATTAGTTGTTTAAGCCATTTTATATTACTTGCTCTCGATTACCAGGGATAATGTTAAATCATTATTAATTAATAATATTACACAATCGTGTACATTCTTTCTATATCTAATGCAGTAACATAACAATATTAATTTGTTGTAGAGCGTCGTGTAGATGTTTTGTAGATGCGTATATAGCTTTTTAATGAAACCAAATGTGGTAGTTCTAGTTATAAACGGAAAACGATTTAAGCTCGGAACCCATTAAAATTTTAGATTATTCTTGCAATTATTAATAATTGCAAGAATAGTTTGTTAAAATATACTTATGTTTGTATACGTAACAATTTGATTTTAGTGCTTCTTGTTTTTTAGACTTTGTGTGATGACCCGCGTACAGAGATAAATAGTAAAAAATTGCCGCAATAAATGAAAATGGCATGATTTTCACGATAGACAAATAGATATTTGGTGGGTTCGCGAGCAAATCATTATTATTAAATCACGTGTTAAGTGGAAATGAACACGGAAAGACTTATATCATCATGTGTGCCTATAACGGCCATCGGCTACATATCTATAGCAGCCAGAACTTACTTATCTGAGAGCATTGAGCAAAATAATTATATAATGTAAAAAATTACACCGTTAAACCGTTACACGATTATATTATAATTTATAGTATTGATATTTACCGGCCGTTATGGTTTTACACCACTGTTGAACGCGGACGTCTATCGCTCTTGGTATTAGTCGTGCCAGGTCGAAATGCCGCATTTGTCCGATTTGCTGTGGACTCCACGGGGCAAAAGTGTTTTTTTTTAAGAATTTTTTTTCGGGGAAAGGGGGGTTCAAAACGATTGGGATCGTTGGTGGCCGTCATTCACTTAGGAAAAAAACACACACACTTCACCACTCAAGGCTGTTTAAAACGGGCGTGCACGCGGTTGTAAAACGCCATATTTTTCCAAATGACAACTATATACTATAACTGGTCTTGAGCGTATTTCTTTTTAAATTTTTTTAATTATATCGGACCACAATGATACACATTACACATATTATAAAATACAATCACTATGACTAACGGCCAAGCCAATTGATCTACGCGTCGTTCATTGATAGTTTTTTTCCTCTTTGAGAGGCTATCGCTGTTTTAGGTCGTCGCCGATGATAACGAAAGACTAACAGTATTTTTTTGTCTTCGGCAATCAATTAATGCTCTCATTGTGAGCGTTGTCTTAATAGTAAATAAAATGATTTACGGAAAGTGGAGCGGCGATTTTTGAACAAACAACAGCCTTATCTTAATTCATTCACAGCTGATGAAAAGTGCTCGGTTGCGCACATGTACAGTACGGGTTATACGCATGTGCAATACAAATAATACATGTTTTTAAAATAAAATAAATTATTATCATTATTATTATACTTTATAAGGTACTTCGTACTCAACCAAGGATGTCGGCATGCTGTGTATAATCACGTGACCACAGGCACCGATAGCGTTTGTAAGCAGGCCTCTTGGGCGGTTGTTTGAAAAAAAGTTAAAAAATGTACATTTAAAATAGGTATAATGTGACGAAAAAAAAAGTTGAATTTTAATAAGCGAGTCGGTGTTTGACCGCCGTTAGTATCAGCGGAAATATACAGTGAAAAACCAGTTTCAAAATTAAAGAATATATATATATATATATATAAAATAGAGATGTATTATATAAAAAAGTACCTACCTATGTATTTAATATATCTACGTTTTCAATGCAAACGATATTCCAATTCAGTATAACATTAGAAACTCGGATTTTGTTAAAAAATATATCGGTGCGTTGTAAGTTATAACCTTGTTGAAACCTTGAAATTGATTTTGTACCACGCCGTTAAGTAGATGCAATTTTCATTTCAGGATAGAATAGTTCTACTCGTTAATGCAAAATTATAATATGATTGTCAAGGTCTATTTAAAAAAATAATCTAACCAATACTTAAATCAATAAAAAATCCTGCGACTTAATTATATAATGAAGAATAACTTTTTATGCTACATTATAAACATTGGTTAAATTATTTACAAATCATACATAAATAAAATAACATATGAAATTCTATAAACAAGTGACAGAGTTATTTTTAGTAATTTTTTTCATATTTTTTTAATTTGATGACTAGTAAATGACTTTGATAAACTATTGCGTAAGCCTCAACCCCTAGAAAAGTCCATCATTTAATTTATAGTAAAAGTTTCGTTTCAACTTGCACGGGAGAATGGGTGTATAGGTATTATAGAGAGGTGAATACATAGTATCTCATTGATAAAAAACAACATCTAACATAAACTAATAAACTAAGAGATCAATAATTCCTCCAATAAAATCCTAATATCTTAATAAGACCAATATCCAAAGTCGTCAAACGCATTACACTTAGTGTAAGTCGTACATTTTACATTCCCCTTTATTTTAATTTAATTTTGTTTTGTTTCTTTGTTTTTTATTGTAAGTATTTTTTGTTTATAGAAGTAAATATTAATAGATAGCATCACATGATGTCAATTAATGTGATACCTACATATTTAATGGTTCTGGTTCTGTACTGTCCATATTAAATTGTATTTGTTTATTTTACTACATTGGAAAATATTTAATGAATCCAACTTTCAAAATTGTAGACTGCATTAAAAGTAATATTAACGTTTGAACTCGACGAGAAAAAAATATGCGGATAATTAGATTGTGTTTATCAGTAAAACTAAAAAAATGTATGATTTAAGGTAGTTTATTATTATTGAGTACTATAATGTATAAACCCTAATTTATTGTCGAATTTTTCAGTTATTTTTATTAATTATTTTAATCAAAATTGTTCTTTATTACCAAATTGGCCAGTGTATTAATAAATAAAGAAATAATTATAGTGTATGACTTACCGACATGTTCGGATGAGTATTCTTGATCTGAAAAAGAAAATCGTATTACATTAAAATAAGAAACAAAACCATAGTTGATATCATTTAAACTGTAAAGATGTAAAATTATTAAGGTGTAAAGTATAGGTAATTTTTAGCAAAATCTGAATTTAAGCCTTAACCTTATAGTGTACAGTATAAATGAATACAGTAATAGGTATTCTTTATTGGTTTTTATTTTTTTTGTCACAGAAAATTCTATAGGAAAATTATGATTGTGTTTTCATTAAAATTGCTTTGCGCAGGATTACGCGGGCAATATTCACAGTAGATTTACCCAATTGTCACAATATGTTATAAATAATATATAACATAACTTTGTCTGTCTTTTATCTGTGTAGTAGTAATTTGTTGATATCAATATTTATTACATTTTAATAAACAAAAAAAAAAGGGCATGTGTTTAAATTATAAAAAAAATAAAAACGTTACGACACAGGTAAAATTCTTTACCGTGCACTGTAAACATTTTATAATTCACATACAAATACAGCCCGAAAAACCTTGTCTGTTGCACAACAAATTAATATAAGTCTTAATACATCCGTTTTTAAAATATTAAGTTAAAAACCATACATCACAACGTTATATAATGATATGAAAAAAATGATATTATAATATGAATTTACTGGTAGACACAAAAATAATAGTAGTTTTAAAGTTTTTCTTTATTTGGAAAATATGTTTTATATTAGTTTTTTTAAACCTTTTTAGAATTTTAAATTTGTTTCTTAATGGCGTGTGACCTCTACGTCGTGCCCAGGGCTTTATTATTATTATTATTATTATTGTTATTATTATTTGATACCTACATCGTTTTCTTGAGAAATTTACTTTTTTTCTGTAGTAATAACGTATCATAGTAAACATTTTAATAATAATAATTATGAAACACTCAGTAGGTAATAGAGCAAATACGACTAGTATACAATAACAAACAATGTTATGGTCGATTTCTTGATAACCGATTAGCTAATACAATTTAACACTAAAACAATAAAAATGTGTAATAGTATTTTCATAATTCATGGTCATATTTATCTTAATACTTTTTTAACTTCAAAAATATTAATAATGGTGCATTTATGATAACTTTTGGGTCAAATTGCCTACTTTCATTGAGAGCATTAAATTATATCTTGTATATAAATCAAATAGTTGTTATTAACAATTATAAAATAATATAATAATTTACAAATATTTCCCTTTCTGAGTTATGACAGGTAATTTAGCAGGTCATAGTAAAAAAGTCAAGTTTATTTTATTATTGATAAAGTTGTACGTTTATACAGTCATTACATAGTACAGTTGTATATTACGTTTATACTTGTTAACCATAATTAACTTAATGCGCATTAAGTTATGACGAATTCTAGTGTGGTCATAGATACATCTCGCATAATATTACACATAAAAGGCACATAATATGATTTTAAGTTATTATTTTATAATAATTATTCTATGATAGTCGGTTGATAACTTAGGTTAGGTTAGGTAAACTAACCTAACCTACAAATTCATGACCTGAAATATGAGTTATAAAATGAATATTTATTATGGGTACTTCCTTAAAATTACAAGCTATTTAATAAGGTTGGCGAAAATTACCCCACTCCATCACACTATAGGTTGACTGCATTCGGTCAAACACGAGTAGATCGGTTAATTTGTATTTAATCAACTTAAATCTGATGAGATATCCAAAACGTTTCACAAATGAGTATTACAAATCTTCGTTATTTGCATAATAATGCATGACTTTAAGTTTACTGTTTTATAAGCATAATAATAGCTAGATTAGTACGAAATATAAAAGTACCGTTCTTAACTCGCTTCATTAATTCAATGTGAATTCGAATTTAAGTTTACGTGTAATTTTTTATGTAATAGAAAGGTTTATTTCGATTTTTGGAATCGAAAAAAATCATGAATTCCTATTAAGCAAGTTTCATTAAGAACGATTTTACAAGCATTTGCACCTAGGTTAACTTCACTCAAATAAACTACTGCATGTAAACGTGTTAATCGATTTAGCGTAATCTGAATTAATATTAATTCTTGAAGTTAGCTAATTAGGATTAAGCTAAAATCAACTTGTTTCCACGCATAACATACACTGATTTATCTAATTCGAAATTAACTAAATGGATAATAACTACTGTAATATAATATTATGAAATATTACTATGAGTACATGCAAGGATAAAACTGAAATGTGTAATGCGCATTCAATTAATACATTTTTACGTTGCAGTTTATAAGCAAGTATTAAAAGTTTATACATAAATTTAATAGAATGGAATTAAATTATTTTATTATTTATGTTCTATTTCATTTTTAAATAACGCACTTCTCCTATTTCTCTTAATGTAGTCTCAAACGTATGCACAATTATAAGACTATATAGTTAACAAGTATAAATAGTATAAGATTTTAGTGATGGGAAACCGAAAATCCGGATTTTTAAAAAAAAAACGCTTTTTAAGTCATTTGAAAATCCTATAATTGTTAAATACTATTACAATATAAACTGTGTACCTAAGTAAAATTTGTTGATAAATTTTTTTAAAAATAACTCTTAACTTTGTCTTTAAAATGCTTTCGGATTCCGGATTTTCGGATTTCAACAAATCCGTAATTCAAAAGCAGTTTATCTCTTTGGTGTTTTGTTTTATTTTCACATATTTATCAAAAAAATGTTACTTATATATAGAGCATTTATATTGTAAAATTATTTAACACTTATATGGTTTTTAAGTAGCTTAAATAGCGTTTTTTTGTGAAAATCCGGATTTTCCGATTCCCATAACTATAAGATTTTTATCAATCATGTGTCAAACGCAATATTTTTACATTTAAATTTCCCTGTTAACACCTTAGACATTTTTATGTTTCTAGTAATAAATTCTGATAAATAATATGCGTATGAAAAATCTGCCGGTTCATTTATGCATTTAGGCGAATCGTGAAGTAAAATATAAATCTAAAACGATTAGAGAATTTACTTTTATAGTTAACGTATTTGATATAACACGTCGATTTCAACGAAATCAATCAACCGTTGTCTCTTGGAAATCTTATAACAGCTTAACATAAAATCGAAAATAAACAATTAATAAAGCGAGGAATTGATATTAACTGAAAAATATCTTTACAAACTGTAAGCAGGTCAACTGTACAAGTCTTGAGACGTGCTTACACGTTCAGCTAAGCTGTGCAAACGAATTGTACGTACTTTGATTTGCACAAACTAATTGTGCGTGTGTTTAAAAATCGTTTGATTGCACAATTAAAACAAATGTAAACTGAGCGAGTACAAACGGTGCTCGAAAAAACTGTACAATCGCACAGTTTTCGGAGATTGCAAACGGATATCGTGGGATTAGAACTATAACTGAAAAAAAGTAAAAACTTAACGTGTAAATTCTAAATAATTTACTAATCTCATTTGCGCAAGTTGACTGCACAAAAATACCATAAACTAGTTTGCGCAGTTTAATTTACAAGCGCTTGCGTGTACGCAGTGTTAACATCCCTAGTTTTGGTACTTTTTTAATACAGAAATAACATAACGGTGTACGAAAACACCACAGCCTGACCGCCAACGAGATTTGTTAAGACGCGACTGCTTGGAGGTCTGCTTGAACGTGTAAACCCACCTTTATACTACGCAATCGGAAATTATAGTTGATTTATTATGAACATGTTCAATACGTGAAATAGGTGTTACTTGTTAATGCACTTGTATTTTGTTTAACGAAACCATTAAGTAATTAGCTAAGCTAACACATCGGATGCATAGCTAATCGTATTTTTTTGAAAGGGTTTAAAAAAAATATATATATATATATGTATGAATAACACGTTAATTAAAAACAATTATGATAATTTGTTGATTTTAAGCGTTTTATTCACGGTACGTAGAAAAATATTGGTAATTACTCAGTTCTTAAAAAGAGTTTTTATTTGTTACCCAATGGCCAAGAATGCGGACTGTGGTTATAATATTGTATTATATAATCGGGTTTTCCCAATCAAATAATTTGTTTGCGAGTATATAATCGTGTAAAATCTCAACAACGATCATACGGCGCAAATGAAGTACAATATATAAGTACATGATACGCGTGTGATTTTAATAATATAATATTATAAACAATATTGGTTTACGTTTTGTTTAATAAGGAGATTGTTTTCTCAAAAATCGAAATAAAAATACAATATCATGTCATCGAATTCGTGGTCGGTGTTACATTTGTTTTGGCGATTAATAATAGCCTTTTAAGAGTTACGTATATTTTTAAAGCGAATTTACATATTATTATTATTATTGCACACAGTGCGCTTGTATTAGTTAACCAACGTTCATGGAAATCTCGCGGTCCAGTTTATATATATATAATATTTTCTTTCGGTGCCAAGGACAGTTTATTATCGGCGTAACCCGATTGTAAAAACGGCTTAATCATAAGTCTCGTTTGAAGAAACCCCGGTTGTATGTGCGACCCGTGCACAACTGTCTCTGTCACGTTGAAGACTTTTAATACCGTGTACGTTATATCGCAGGCATGTTTTCAATCGTGTGTGTATGTGCGTGTGCCTTACATAATAGGTACATACGATAATGTAGTACACCTTTCAAGTACACGTCTTAAAATCGCGGGGGACGTTTATGACTCGGCAACCGCTAAAATTTTTACATAACGTTTAGTTGGGCAGACCGATATATGACGTTTGGCAACATTGAACGAGTATTTATTTTTTTATTATTGTATTCCTTCATTTACTTAATCAAACCTTACCTTGTCCACTAGTTTAGGTAAATCCATAACATGACTAAGCTGTAGAAAAAATAAACCCAAACGCCAAAACTAGTTAACGTGATAAATAGAATTATTATTTAAATAATTCGCAATATTTCTATTACCTAATAATACTCGTGTATTTTTATTTTTATCCGTACGCAAATTACATAGGAAATAGTCGAA